TCGGAACGTTTTCGGCTCTCGGTACCTCCACGACGACGCGCTCCTTAGCGTTTTCTCGCACTTTTTCTGGCCCCTGTCGGTTTCAAATCAACCGAAAGGGGCCACGAATGTAAAAGTGTTTGCTGCCGGTAGAACTGCGCTAAGGTGGTATATTCAGCTTGAACGGGTAGCTCAGCAAGCAAAGCACCCGAGCCTAGACCATTCGAGGTCAGTACTCGAACCGTTCGCTGTGGGCTTGTTGGTGCCACGCACCTTAAGTGCAGCAATCTGAAGTACACCATAGCCCTTCAAAAGCACCATAAAACCACCCGAATTGGTTCGAGCTGTACCGGTTTTGACCAGATTTCACTGACATTTTCGTAGGTACTGACTGACAGTGAAATGGGGGGTATACGGTGGTCATTCTCCAGTATTGCCAGAACTCTGATGATTACGTCGAAACGCTGTCCAATCATCAGCTGCCTTTTTTGCACCAGATCAACCGTTCCTTGTGGTTTATGCAAGATGGGACCGATATTCACCGTTCCAAGACGTCGATGAAATTTTGGGACGAGTAGAACAAGTACGTGTATGCGAGTGGAAAGCAGTACGCACTTCGACGCGACTACAAAAATACACATTGTTTGTCATATCAATAACCATCGAGCCACTACAGTGATGGCCGTTAAAAGTGGACGAAAGTAGCACTGGCCGATTCGGTCGGCGAGATTTGATTGAATGGGGTCCGGAAATTCGTACCGAATCTCAATTACTTGCTGTGATTTCAACTGCAAAGGCTGTGATTACGACGAATTTGGTGTGACCAAAACCACCACTCGATTTTCATCACTTCGATAAAAATCGAGTTTGTGTATTAACGCGTTACCACATAACACACTTCTTGGTCGGGTTCATGGGCGAGTCCACAGGGCAGTTGAACACCTTGGCAAAATCGACCGAGTTTTGAAGTGCCCCGATCACGCGGTGGCGACCAGGGGGGTGTATGTGGTTGAGCCGAGACTGGAGGTACCTATCACTGTCCTTTGTGCACCACGATTGGGCGAATTTGATCCAAAACATCTTTTCGCCTGCTTCCTTGGTGTACTTGGTGGTTTCGGCCTCACCGTGCACGTAGTCCCGGTACGCCCGGTACGCAGTGTTGACGCCCCCATTGTCAGCGAGGTTTTCCCGCAAAGTCGTATTGCCGTCCAGCTTACCGAGGAAATCCCCCGTGACGTCGCTTTTGACGTCCATGGACCCATACTGCTCGACGAAGCACTCGGCCTTTTCGCTGAATTGTTTCCACGTGGTTTCCGTCCACCACTGTTTCGTTTTGCCGTCGCCGTCGTATCTACTGCCACGGTTGTCGAAGCCGTGGGAGATTTCGTGGCCGATGATAAAGCCAATGGCACCATAGTTCGCAGACGGGTCCGCCTTGGGATCAAAGTACGGGGGCTGCAAGAAGGTGGCGGGAATCAAGATTCTGTTCTTCGAATGTTGGAAGAACGCATTCAGGACCACCGCAAGTTTGTTCCAAAGATGCTTGTCCACGGCAGTGTCGATACGATCTAAGTTGAAAGTAGTGTCGAACGCAGACACCTTGTTCAGGTTGGCAATGTATGCCTTGGGGTCAAACGTCAAGGTGGGGTACGTCTTGGGATTCTTAGGCCCCCCCAAGAGGTGGGAGAACTTGGACAACTTGTCCATTGCGTTGGCCCGAGTTGCGTCATCGAGCCATTCTGCGCTTTCCAGCCTGGTCTTGAAGGCCGCTTCCAGCTTGAACACGAGCAAGTTAGCCTCCGCGGCGGTCTTGCGCGTCCACACTTCCTTGAGATAGTACGAGCCCAGTAGTTCGCCGATGGACGTCTCCACCTGACCGCGGCAGATCATGGCCCGCGACCGGGGTTCATTGACGCCTTTAATCACCTTGTCATAGAAGTCCGAGTGTGCTTCCACAAACAGTGTTGACAGGAACGGCGCGTTGAAGTCGAGAACTTTGTACTCGATAGTTCGTTGAAGAATTTGTGGACAAACGGGAATCCCGAGTGTTCCGCACTCAAGACGTTGCGGGTGATTTCGACGGCGTCGGGCGAGACTGACAGCTTCACGAACATTGGTACGCCGGTGGCCTTGGAGATGGTTGCGCCGCGAAAGATGGCTTCGACTGTCGAGTTAGCGCTGCGGATGGCCTTGAGGTGAACTTCGATGGGAGCCAAGCCCAAGGTTTCTAAAGTGGCAGTGTCCATACACGCGTCATAGAACTCGGCGAGTTTAGGCAGGTTGGCGTTATACAACTTTTCGACCAGCTTGTACGCCTTAGCCACGATCACGGTGTACGCGACATCGGTAGTATCTTGGTTGGCGTGGAGGGTGGTGTTCTTGTGCCACGTCCCGCACGAATACGAATAGAAGTCGGTGCATGGATCCACGGCGTGATCCATGAGACTGGTAATCTCTGTCGGAAACTCGGAGATGGTGCCGAAAGCAGACGCGACACCGGCGGACAAGGCAACCACAATGATCTTGACCATGGCTGGCATATTGAAGAATGACCTATCGACCAAACAAGCTCGCGAATGATGGGGCTATCGATAGCAATTGCTATGGGATACGCATGAGGTATCAGGTGGATATAATTCATCACTTTTTAATGGCCCTTTCTACTACAGTACCTCTGTCCGGATACCATTTTAATGGCCCTTTCTACTACCTCTGTCCGGAAGTACCGTCTAGCGTATTACGTGTCGGATTGTGTCGTACGTCAGACACCTCTAACTTTTAATACCGGTGTACCTTGTCTGAAGTAGGGTTACCCCGGGTTTTGCATACACATGTAGGAACTAAATTTTCATCGTAGGCTACTACGGAGTACTGTAGAGGGGGGAAATAGCTCAGGTGGTAGAGCATCGATTTCTTACTGTTAACTCAAAGGTCGTGTGTTCTATCCCCGGAATATTTCCGCAAGGATTTATCCGTCCCTCCCCTGGGGAATCCGGATAACAAGGGCCGCGTACGAAGAAGGTCGGTCGAAGCACGAGGTATGAAGCTTTGAGCGAAGTAAAATCCGAAGATTACACACCGCCCCTGGTCGAGCAGGTGCGTTACAATTGGCGAAGCGGTTCCACAACATGTGGTTCTAGTGTCAGCCCTCGCGGAGGAATGTCTTACAGTTACTAGTAATATTGATAATCCAAACTCAATTAACCGTCGTCGTCTGTCTTACTATACTCCATAAGGTGATACTGTACTCCACTTGAAGGTCTGTGATTGGTCTGTTTCTGTAGTCGGACGTTCATGGCATACCTGATGTTTGCGAAATACTGTGTGTACGAGTAAACAAATACTACAGTAGTACTCTGTACTATGCCTGATGTTTGCGACAACCTATGTGTATGTATGGTGCAAGTCATCTGTCATCTGAAGACTACAGATCGGCCATCCTCAGACGGAGATTTTTACTATTAAACGCCTCAGTTCTTTCAGTTAAACCCACGAAATGTTGACGTTAAATCTTAGTTACGTTTTTACATGGTAATTAGGTTAAACATTGTGAATAATCCGGATACAATGAAAACGTTCAAAGAGGCCGTTTGGTTGAAATTCTATTACTCGATCAATTTTTCACCAATCGAAAATCTGAACCGTAACTTCTGTTGGGCTTGTCCAGTTCTATCGTTATTACGGTATATTTTCCTAAATAATATCAATACAAAGTTGGAATAGCTGTCGAAAGTCAAGGTATTTATTTGTAGTCTTTAGGTGACTTTCACCATACAATTCCCTCATTAGACCTCTAACCAACTAACGGGACTAACCCTGAAAAACGTTCAACAAATCTGAATACCGTTCAGCCAAGACTGAAAACTGTTCAAAATAATAAACTCTAGTTAGATGAGGTATATTTTTTGTACGTGCTCTGACCACCTTTTTTTTTTACTCATACTAGGGGTTATGTAAGCGTATCTCCATGGTTAGCGATAGCTAACCACTGGTGATGCACTTACAGTTAACCCTGGGGATTTAGTATTATTCGTCGAAGTATGTGCACGCGGGGGTAGGACGAAGTCCCAGGATTACAGGGTTACAGGAGGAAAATTTGCTTGAACGGTTTTCAGTCAAGAGCTCTATGCAACTCATCCAATTGGCTTAAATTCATAAAAAAAGAGTTGACAGTCTGTGAATTGACTGGAGCACCTTTGATAAAAAAATCCAATACTCAAAACAAGATAAAAAATGCGGATACATAAGCCAAACTTATCCGAAAAACAGGAATGCTGCAAATACATAGCCAAACTTATTCGAAAAACAGGAATGCCGCAAATCAAGGCATAGCGGATTTTAAATGAAAGAACTTATCTAGGATCAGCACCGCGCTGTCGTCGACCACCTGCTCCTTCGTGCCGTTCCGGCTCCATGAAAACTACGTCATGGAGCCATAAAAGAAGTGGCCCGGATCTTTGGTCGCAACTGGCGCACCTCGCCGAGATCTGGAGCCGTGCCAACGCTATCGCTTGTGCGAACGGCCAACCTGCTCAAGAGATTGTCTGCAAAGACGTGTCTTCGCTTCAGAAGAAACGCTTCGGTCAAAACGAAGTGCACGGACCTTCCGGCTCGAATGTAGTACAGTATATAGTTTGGACAGTGGCAATCCGGAATGGTCACCGTGCGGATAGTGCCTATAGGTTTGGACATACAATAATCAAGTGACACGAATTTCGTGCAGAACAGGGGAATATATTCAAAATAAAGGTTTATTTTTTTATGGAGGTACACGATACAAGGAGTAATTATTTTCAATAAATAGCATACAAATAATAAGATAATATTTCACCTGGCATGAAGTAAGTCGCTGCCTGAATGAATGACCATGCTTCCGTTCATGATCAACCTCGCCGCCGCATCCTTCGATACTGATAGCACTACTTGGATGTGATCATTTATTTCCCTTAACCCAACTAACGTGTGAGCATATAGACTTCCGTATTGCGTGAAAAAAGCGCGGTGGGTAATTGTTGCCTATGATGAAGAACGAAGCAGGTTCACATGCAAGCAGTAAGCAGGCATCCCGAGACCGCTACTGGATGGATTTAGTCTTTTTTTTACGTTTATCTAAGGTTCTTATGTTGTTAAGCTTACTATCATGTTCTAGAACAGTCGAACGTCTGTTGTGCGTTCATACTAGGACATGGGACGACCACTTGGGCCGCGTCGCCCCTCGCCGTTGACCATTTTTGGTTGCAGTCAACCTCTATATATGGAATATAGGAGATATTTGCAGCGCGAAGGAAGACTTGCAAAACTTGATAATTATCTTTCTGGCACAGAAAGATCCACTAACAGCCTCGGTCCCTCGTCTTGAGCACCCCTTAAGACTACGTAGTAAATGTTAACGATTAAGTATATAATGGAATGCGACGGGTCGCGAAAGCGGTTAGTTGATGTAAATGCCCCCACTTCGTCACGCCATATAAGTCGGATGGTGGGGAGAATGAGCCTTACCAGCATAAGTCCCTCTTTTATCGGTACATTATCCGTATAAGGTCTTGTCACACAGTAAGTCCCAAGATAATTATCAAGTTTTGCAAGTCTTCCTTCGCGCTGCAAAAATCTCCTATATTCCATATATAGAGGTTGACTGCAACCAAAAATGGTCAACGGCGAGGGGCGACGCGGCCCAAGTGGTCGTCCCATGTCCTAGTATGAACGCACAACAGACGTTCGACTGTTCTAGAACATGATAGTAAGCTTAACAACATAAGAACCTTAGATAAACGTAAAAAAAAGACTAAATCCATCCAGTAGCGGTCTCGGGATGCCTGCTGACTGCTTGCATGTGAACCTGCTTCGTTCTTCATCATAGGCAACAATTACCCACCGCGCTTTTTTCACGCAATACGGAAGTCTATATGCTCACACGTTAGTTGGGTTAAGGGAAATAAATGATCACATCCAAGTAGTGCTATCAGTATCGAAGGAT